GCAAACTCCAAGGAGAACAAATAAAGAGACTGTGACAGACCAAGTGCATCAGAACAGAGAGAACATCAAAAACAAACTTTTAAAATTTTTTCAATGTTTATTTTTTAATTTGTTATATGTCTGTAATACATCTTATTTACATTCATTTAAGGGATTTGATAAAAAAAAAGAGATATTTTCTGGAAAAGGTAACAAATGTCAGTAATCCCAGCATTTGGGAGACTGAAGCAGGAGGATTATCACAAGTTGAAGCCCAGTCTATGCCACAGAGGGAGTTCAAGGTCACTTTGTATAGTGATAGGCTTGAGTTAATGCCTGAACACCTCCAGATAAGAGGTACAAAGCAGGCAGTGGGCTTTCCAGGATGCTAGAGCCTGAAGCAGAAGGCTCTCTACAGAGACTCCCAAAGAAAGAGGCAGCCAGCAGCTCCTCACCCCAAGCATGACGTTTCTTGTGCTGGGTGAGAATAGACTGGGCCCAGGTGCAAGGACACATTTCAAGTGAAAGTCAATTAGGCTGGAAGCAAAAGATCATCTGACAGGGACAGTAAGTCCATGCCTAGCTACACAGCATCTGTCATCAGACTCATCCCATCCACCCTAGGCACTTGGGAGACCGGACTCGAAATTCAGAAGTCCTAAATGGAAAGTCTATGAGACTTGTTTCAACACTGTCTTCTTCCACAAGAAGCCACCTGACATACATCCAGGAGTGAGGCAGTATTTTCATACACGAATGTGGGATTCCAGAAAAGCTTGCCTGACTTGTATGTTACTGCTACTCTGTGTGGGATCAGTACTGCCCCAGAAGATGCCACCACTCAAAACAATCCAGCTTGACCCTTGTCTGGAGTCCTAGGACACAGTGTCCACTTGTGGAGGACCTGGTTTTGAACTTAGTTCAGAGCACCAGCCTGCATGCCCTGCTCTTGTTGAAATTCAGCGGCAGGTCCCATTGCTTTGATGAGGGGGCCTGTGTACCTTCAACTATAGCTCCCAAACCTACCATTAAACCCTTGCCAGCTCTCAGGACTGTCGGGCCCCCACACTTACCAAGATCCTAAGCACATCTACATCCAGACTTCAACAACTTCTCCCCTTCCCGGCTCACTTCTTCTTATCTGAAGACAGCAGCTCCTTCAGCTGCCCTCCTGATCTCCCCACCTATCTCAGGTTCACTGCTGCAATGGCAGTCTACCCATAGTTTGGTGCCTGAGGAAGTGATGTGTCAGAAGCCTGCCAGATCTTGGCCTTTTTGACTATTTGTTGCCTGGTCTCAAAAAAGTTATTTGACCTTGTCTGTACCCTGTGCACAAGAAGTAAAGGCAGTGCCTGCCAAGTCAGTGTTGTAGTGAGGCTTGGAATACATGCCATTCTAGAGAAACAACTTCAGAAAATATCCATTATGCAGGGGTGGTAGTTGGTGAATGCCACATCTGGATATCAGGGTCCTGGGTCCCAGTCTGAATATAGATTTGAATATTTTGTGGGACACTCAGCAGCCAGGATTTCCTATTGCCCAATGTTGAACACAGTTCTATCAGTGTGGTGCAATCTTCTAGGAGATGATTCAACAATAGCAATCAAAACTTCAAGAGTGCAATTTTTTATTCACAATTTCATTGTTAGGAACCTATTTGATTTGAGCACAAAGATATATAAAAGACAAACAAATTGTAACAACAAAGTGAGAAGCAGATTCAGTGTTGATGACACCCAAAGGCACTAGCTAGCTAAGCCATGGCTCCTAGAAAGGACAAGAAGCAGTAGAATACAGAGATGCTGACATTAACATATCTACAAAACATATCTACAATTACAGTGGTTGAGATATACAGGTAGAAGTAAGTGTGTGAACTGATGTTCCCCTATTCCGTTTTGCTGGATAGTATCAGGTTCGAAAGTTTAGGCATCAGCTGTGAAGATAATGAGATTCATTATGACACCCATTCTTGTTGACTTTTATCTACTTTTGAAGACCTACAATGTCTCCAATGTTTTGGTTTTGTCGGTTTTAATCTTTACTGTTTTGTTCAATTGTATTATAACTAACGATATAGGCAATTCTATTAGAGATAGCGGGAGGCATTATGGTAACCATTGTTGATCACCTTGTGTTATGTTTTTACATTATCTATTATGTCCACCCTTTTGACTTGACCGATTCTGTTCTGTTATGTCACATTTGGTTTTACTCTCTTCCAAAAACGTAATAAGAACCGTGGGAGCAATGAAACCCAAAATGTGTAATAGTCATGGTACAAAAGAGAGGAAAAGAAAGTGCTCCAAACTATATAACTGCATGTATATTTAAGTGTATAAGATAGAAAATGATATCACAGAGTTTTATTGGATCAATGAACAGAACTGTTTGCAGTATCATTGATGGAATGTCCACTTTACAAGCTTTAATTTTGTGACTTGAACAATTATTTCTAAGATGACAATATGTAATCCATTAACTAGTGATTTCCTACTGTTCATTTTTTTTCTGTAAATCTGTATAACTTGTACCCTTTCCCTGCTTTTTTTTTCTTTTCTCCTTAAATAAAATTAAAAAAAAAAAGAAAAAAAAGAAGTAAGTGTGTGACAGGAAGTAAGCCAACAGGAAGTATGGGAAGTAGTTCTCTGGTTTGTCTTTGATCCTTGTGAGGAGAGGGTCCTGCCATTAGACCTACCGCACTGAGCAGAAGAGACCAGGTAGGAGAGAGACTCCGAGTGATTTCCACTGTTTATCTTCTAAATGCATCCCTCCTCTGACTTCAGGAAATAATGGGCTATATTGCTGTATTTCTTTTTAATTATCAGGGTGGGAGCAGCATGTCTAGCACCTCCTCCCATGCTGGCTGCAGTGCTAGGAAGCCACTCCCAGTGACAATTTCCAGCACAGAACCAGAGGTTGTGGGAAGCTCCATTGGGGCTTCTGTTAGAGTAGATTCTTATGGCTGGATCCATCCTTGTACACACCTCAAATTATGGATTAATAGTTACTGAAGCTTGGTACTCTTCTGGTTTGGATCACATGGATGGATCACCCCTTTGAGTCTGGAAGAGCCTCCAGTTCCCAACTCAACCTTCTATTTGTGTGCCATAGTTCTTCACTGATCTTTTGTGAATACCCTTTTGTGCTGGTCATGGACTTTACTGCCTGGACCTCAGGGAATCCTTGCCAGCTCAAATCTACTCACCTACCGAGTGATGATAGTAGCATCTGTGAGTCTGAGTGGATCTGTCTGGAACATGGCAGGCTGTGCAGAGGTCATGGAACTCAACTTGATGTCAAAGTAACCAGCCCTTCTGTGGCATCATACCAGCTTTGGTCCCCACACACGTGGCTATGGGGTACATGGGCAAGGATGGACAAAGAAAGTCAGGTACCTTCCCAGAGGGTGATGTCCAATTGGGAAGGCTGTAACCTCGCACTGCTGGAGTGGTACCATGTGGTCTAAAGTGAGCTGCATTTCAGGTGGCTCTTGGGCAAAGTCCTGTGCTCCCTGCAGACTGCCCAAAGGAACATCTGTAGGACCACTGACTCACACTGCCCACCAAGCCCAGGAATCCTGATTGCTGATCCCAGGTGAAGCCAAGTCACTGGCCCTACTCACACTCCCACCTGTTTCTAATAACTTTTTCAAACCTGCCTTCCAGGTAGGCTGTGACATCCAAAGGGAAGATATGCTGCCTGTTGCTGGCCGAGTTCCCAGAATCCAAGGCAGCAGGGCCCCACAGATAATATTTGCCATGGGTCCACTGGCCTACACCTGGGAAATAACCACAAAGGAAGTCACATTTTCCTTGCAGAACACCCAAGACCTCACCTGCAGTCTTTCCTGACCACAGTTCTCAAAGCTTCCGGACACTCATCATTCAACGAATGTCTGAACAAGACACATGTACACTCCTCTAAGACCTAAGCCATGAGCCCTCACTTATGCCTGCCTGCAGTTTGGTGTGGGCTGAGCCCATCAATACTGAGTATGAAGTGCTAGAGACAAAGAGCTGAATAAGTGTGTCAGTCCTGACACTCATCTGCCACCTGGGAAGAATATACATATACACTGAAAATATTACTTCATTCTCAGTTGAGAAGCTCAAAGTACCATTTCTAGACTAAAGCCTAGGCAGTTGGCCCTATGGTTGTGTCTGAACCTTGGTCAGGTCTCTGTGTGCTACCAGAGTTGCTTCAGGTGAGGGCTGTGCAGAAGATGTGCTGGGCTTCTGTGAGAATTCCGCTTTGCTTCCTATCCACTGGAGGAAATGGACCCGCTCACTGAGAAACACCAGGCAGGTAAATTCAGTGTGCCCTGCAGGCAAGTGACCCACATGCATTCCTGACACAGAGCTGGCATTTACATGAAAGTAGTGCCAGAAGTTCACTGCCCATGGCGCACACTAGTTCCTATAAGGATCACTGCTGGCTACTTGAAGTACTGGGCTGACCGGTCCTCTTCACCAAAGAATCCACTGGTTGCCAGTGGAAGAGGCACAAGTATCAGAAGGCTAAACTGGGAGCTAACTTCTCCCAGAGTCATAGAGGCCAGAAAGACAATTTAATCTCAAGATTTCATGTGGCGTAAGGGGCAGCGGAACTTGCTGAGGCAGGCAGCAATACCTGTCTTCTGAGGAAAATGCCCCACTGGATTGCTTGAGGAAAGGATCAGGCTGAGGAGGAGCCCTGGTTGTGCTAGGGAGCTGTCCCAGAAACTGTTTGGAGGAAGGGAGGAGGACTCAGCCTAGCCCCAGGGATGCAGAAAATGGGGATTCTTTGCATACCTTCATCCTGGAGGGTCAGAGTGAGAAAGGAGAAATAGAAGATACCAGTGAGGAGAGGAAGGTGGAAAAGCAGCAGGTCTCATGGGAGGCTGACAGACCCATCCCAGATGAGAAGTCCTGTGGTGTCTCTCCATGGAAAGCCACCTGCTATGCAGCGCTTGTCAGGGGCTCTAAGCAGGGAGCGGTGCACTTTGGGCATCCAGATCACTCAGAGCGACAGCAACATGCCCTAATAGGAAGCAGTAATTCTTTAATAAAGAATACACAACTCACAAGAATTGCCAGGTTGACCAAGGCCATTTACATGAACCATAGGCCACAAGGGAAAAGCAGTTTCAGGCTCCCCCCTGGGGTGTCCTTGAAGCTAGATGAAGCTTCTGTGATCCAGAGTTCATAGGACATGAGATCCTGGGAGAGGTGAGTACCACCGTAGAGAATTGCTCAGGATTGCAACAGTCTCCTGGATCTGCAAGCATTGCAGCAAGTTTTGCCTGGCCAACTCACTGCCCCCAGCCCTGACCCAAGGAATACCCAGGAGAAAGCATCAGTCCCTGTCTGGGCAGTGGCTCCTCTACCACTCTGCATGCCAGCGAGAGACACCCATGGGATTTCCAATTGCTGAGGCCCTTTGGACCCAACTTACAGCAGCACACATGAGTTCCAGAGTTACAGAGTTGAGGAGGTAGCACGCAATAGTCTGAGGTGGTGGTGGTGGCCAGGCCCAGGTTTTCCAAGGTAGTTAGGTAGTCCACAAAAGAGTGTCTGTCTTAACCCCAGCTCAGTAACAGGTGTAAGGCCATGGCCACCTAAATGTCCCAGCATCTGGAAGTCAGCAGACGAACAACTCTTGTGCCAGGGATCCCACAGCAGGATTCTGGACAGCAACAAGAACCTGGTGGAGGTGTCCATCTTATGTAAGGTCCCATGTATATGACTGTACTATCCTGAAATCAGCCCAGTAAGGGATGGAAAGTGGCACATCTGAGAATGTATAGCATATCCTCTGCACAGCAGGACCTGGTTCCAGACTCTATTTCTGCAGCTCCAGATCTACCTGCTGAGGTAGACAGCCCAGATGCTGAGAGCTAGCAGCCCCCAGCTGATGCTGTGGCTCACTGTACTGTTGCAGAGGTCCGTGTTACAGCAGGAGGCTCTGGAGGCAGCCAGGCTTTCTTGGAAGCCAGGGCAGGTGTAAGCACATGATTTTATGATAATGGTTTTCTCACCTGGGGGACCTGGAAAACAGGACAGAGAGCTATTTCTGAGTCCAGTGAAATCTGTCTCTGCCTCTCTCACCAAGCTCAGATCTGACATACTGCCTGACCCTTTCCCATTGCTTTCTGATGCCACAGGGACACAATAAGCAGTCAGAAGTCTCAGGGCTCATCTTGTTTCTGGGAACAGGGCTCAACGCATGACCTCACCAACATCAAGTCTCAGTGTAGGACTAGAATGAGGGTTTACTATGACCAGGCTCAAGGGCAGTGAGGGGCCTGATTCAAAGTTCAATGTGTGACTATGGTCAAGACTCAGTGTGAGACCAGCCTCAGGGCCGTGTGTGATCAGGCTCAGGGCTCAGTGTGTGAACAAACTCAGAGCTTTTACCCACAACCAACTTTTCTCCCTCTTACTTTCTGAAGGCCAGTGCCCTATAGAGCCATTTGAATCTGGTATTTCCCAGCAATGTGCAGTACAGGTCACATAGAATAACACATTCTCTCTTCTCCAGGCCTTTAGGAAAGGGGCCTCAGTGTTCCCATTTTGGAGGAGGGAGACAGAGCAAGGGAACTAACAGCATTTCTCAGAAGCATTGGTGGCACATCTCAGCACCTGGACTAGAAGTGAATGTTCCCAGCCTGCTGTGACTCTACGCACAGGCCCAGCACCCTGGGTCCACAAGTGCCAGGTCCAATGCCACAGGAAGGGAGATACTTACTGTTCCAGGTGGTCAGGCAGTAGCGGGTATTGGCTGGGCAAGACACAGGCTGGAAACAATCTTCTGTAGCAAAGCACTCATGACACTGCAGGGCCTGGGCTAGGGAACACCATTGGTGTCAGACACCAAGGCCTCCAGTTGCACAGCTGCACAAGCACAAACCTTTCTCTCTGGAAAGCACCAGCTGACCAAGCCCTGCACCCATCCTCTACCCACTACCCTGCCAGCTAGACAGCTGCTCCCCTAGATATACTGGGCCTTGGAAGCAACTTATTCTCGGCCCCCAAGAGCACTCCAGGTATAGTACCCCATGTCAAGGGCAGAAGATCATAGCTATGAGCAGCCAGAAATCCATCCCTCCCAGCAGGCAGACAGAGGGTAGCTCCTGCCCAAGAGTTACATAAGTACAGCAGACAGGAAAGCAGGGGGCCTCTGGCAAGCCCCAATCTGACCTTAACTTCTGCTCTGGAATGAAGGACCATGTCACTCTGGGGCCAGTCCAGATCCTCAAGATGGGGGCCAGCATCATCAGGTGTCCTGGGTCCCCAGGGCTGGAATCCCACTGCCTCACCTGGCCACATGAGCAGGAGCAGCTGCAGACACAACATAGGAGTCCTCATGGCTGGTGATCGGCAAGAGGAGCACACAGAGTCTAGGGGTGTAGGTCTTTATAGGGCCTGCCTAGCTGGGCAAGTGGAGTTCCAGGCTCCTCAGTCCTCCTGATTGTCACACGTGTCATGACTGGGGGTGTGGTCAAACAATAAATATCTCTAGGACCAAACAGGCTCGCTCCACCCACTGCTCAGTCTCCTGTTAGGGCTCCCTGGGTAAACCTGCCCACGGTCGTCTATCCTGGGCAACACTGCTCTGCATGTTGCTGGGCCTGCTGTCCAGGCACATTGCTCTCTTATCCATGGTAATAATCACACCAGAAAAAGCTATGAACCTTTTCACGGCTCTGTTACTTGCAATCTGAGGTCTACTGCAGGCACGGATGGCTCTGCCTGGCTTTTCTCCTTGCCATATAGATAGCTATCTTCGTGAGGTTTTTCCTCTGTGTGATGTCTATGTCCCAGTCTCTTCTTCTCCCAGTCAGCCTGAATCGACACCCATAATAGTGACCCCATTGTACCTCAGTCAACTCTCTAAAGAGCCCATCTGCAAACATGGCTGCCCTCTGAGGGCTTGGAGTTTTCAAGGCCCCAACATATGTAATTGAAGAAACAACCAATTCATTTCAAGACACAGGGGGAGGCAAAACTTGGCCCTTTGGCAAATTTGGTTTGGGCACATGGACGTCGTTGCCATGGTTTTTTGGGGCAGGTTGGATTTCACTGCCTCTCTACTGATGGCTCCAGGTGAGGGACACTCAGGAGAAGTCTGTTAACACTCCACGCACACCCCAGGGTCTCAGGGTTCCGCTATTTTATGTGCCACCAAGAATGAAGAAACACAGTCAATTAACAGAGACACAACAGTATGTAACACCTGACTCTGTCTCAAAACATGAAAAGAGGAAGCTTAGATTCCACTGAATTTGAGCATCCTCAGGCAAGCAGAGAGGTGGCCAGAGCAGAATCTTGGGAACCCACTGGATATAGGCCCAGCCTCAGCCTGCTGTTCAGTCAGGACTCCAGGAACAGCTCTGCGAGAGGCTCACAGTTGCATGGTTTATGAGTCTGAGGGGGTGCAGCTCCTCTTCACTAAATATAACCAACATGACCTGCAGAGAATGGACCCCTTCAGTTTTGAGAGAGGGCCTAAATGACAGTCCGAGGGCACTGTACTCTAGGGCTTCTCCCTTGTGGTTCCCACTGATGACTACAACCATTCCAACTGGGTGGAGAACAGATCACATAAAGATTCACAGAGGTGATTTGCTGCCCCTGACCAGCCTCTTTTCCTTCCCCCACGTAGGTGTATGTGGCCTGCAGGGCTCCCCTAACATTCAAAAACAAGGTGCTCTCAGGTCCTCTGTGTGTCCTGAGCAAATCCTTTCCCTGCATTCTGTCCTGTGCTGTGTCCCACCAGACCAGTGGCTTTACCAGGGCATGGCTCATGGCCGAGAGGGCCCTCTGGATCTACCCATCCAGTTGATACCCGCCCTCCAGGCCATGGGTCCCATCACCTCACCCAGAGCCCCTACCAGGAAGGCAGGCACAACATAGACCAGGCCCTCTCTAAGGCCATGCAGAAGCAAGAGGTGGAAACTTGAGGTCTAGGTCCCCAAGGTCCACAGGGGTCCTTCCCCATGGCTTCTTGGGGCAGGAGGGGAGTGAGGATCACATTCTCTCCATCACCATGAGGGAAAGTATGTGTGGAGATGGGTGATGAGTTTGGGACACTCAGGGACAAAGCACCCTGAAAGGGCTGGCAGAGTCCATAGGACTTGGGCTCAGTCTTTCTTCTAAATTTCCAAACCCTAGGCATGCTCTCAGTCCATCCTGTGGACAAAGAAGCTGAGAAGCGCAGCTGGCCGTCTGGGTAAGGGCTACATGGAACACTGGGGGTCGGGGGTATGTTCCCGGTTGGCTCAAGGCTCCAGGATTGGAACAACCTTCTTGGATTCCTTGGGATCTTGCCTCATCCCCTTGTCCAATGGGAATCCATCACCTTCCCAGGAACCCAGTTGGTGAGCTGACCCAGCCCAGCCTCAGCCTGCTGATGTGTCAGTCATGATTCCCAGGAACAGCTCTGGGAGGATCAGAAGGACAGGGCAGCAGTATCCAGAGCTTGGCTACAGCCACATCCAGCATGCTCCTCTGCCTTGGTGACAGGAGAAAATAGCATGTTCTGAGGCCCTCCACACACATCCCCTGGATCTTCCAGCATCCAGCAGAGGTGGTGGCCACTACAGCAGCCTCCAGTCATAGAGCCCAAGGCCCACCCACCTTGTCTGTGTCATGCTAACTTATCTGAGTCATGGGGAGGGTCAGGGGCCAGCACACAGAGGAGAGCCCATCCCTAGAGTGTTACGGTGACTCATGACAGACCAACCAACCTGGAAGTTCTCCTTGTTGTCTTTGTTGTGACTAAGGAAACCTAAACAAAGGTGCAAAGTTGCTAGGTCTGTAAACAGAAGTGCCTCATCTCCATCCCAGGAAACTATGGGTCCATTACCTGCCAGCAAGGGGGTCAGCCCCAGATGTGGACCTGAACAGATCATCTTGGTTATTTGATTGACCCAAAGTGTCATTACAGGTCTTTACAAGAGGGAGGTAGGAGGCTCAGGAAGGCAGAGATGACGACATAAGGAGAGAAGAGAGAGTAGCACACTAGGGAGGCATCTCAAAGAGTGAAAGAGCAGGACAGATGCTCTCCAGAGCCTCAGGGTACAACTCTGGAGACACCTTGACCCCAGTAAGACCTTCCTGTAAATGGTAAATAAAGGGTTTTTAAGCCCTTACACTCTTGGTTATCCATCACAGTAGCCTCAGGAGACTAAGCCATTAAGCTTCTACTCTGCTAAGTGGACCCAGAGAAGTGGACCCAGCTCCAAAGTTCTGTCATGGAGAACCTTCATGTTCCTTATGACAGTCACTCAGACAAAATGTGTGGCAGGAGACTCCGCATCAATTACAGTGCTGGACCTCGAGGGGCCACTGCTGACTGTGGCATGAAAGGTTCTCTTGCTCCCACTCCTATTCCCAGGGTAGCCTTGCTCACAGAGGTCAGTGTCCTTGTCCCTGGGAGTTTCCTGAGCCATCACCTCCAGCAAGCAGGCCTGCTGTCCCTTCGCACAGACACTGAGTTCAGGTGTGACAGATAGCTTATAGTTGGATCTTTGGTGAGGAGGCTAGTGTAGTGTACCAATCTCCATGTTTAATTGGAGAATTTAATTCGCTTACATTTAAAGTGCTGATAATGAGAGTTATTCATTTACTTATTTATTAGCTTATTTCATTTTGACATTTGTTTTTTTGGGCTTTTTCCTTCATTTGCTGCATTGCCTTTTTGCTTCTGTGTTTTGTTGATTGAGTGATATTCATTTCCTTTTGAGTGATGGATTCTAATGTTTTTGTGTGTATGTAAGTACCATGGGGATTGTGTTTAAAATCCTAAAGTTAAACACGCTAAACAGAATTCATACCAGCTCAACTTCTGGTCCTTAGAACTTGCCCCCATCTCTTTCAGTTATTGATGTCACAAATCACATCTGGTTATATTTTGTCACAGAAAATATACATTAATCACTGATTGTTTACTAATTCATTATTCTCTTAAATCTCATCGTAAATAAAATAGGGAGCTATGCATCATTGTTACAATAATATTATTTCATAGTCACACATGTATTCAACTTTACTAATATTTTTACTTCTTCATACAGCTTGGCATTATCATCCAGTGCCCTTTCACTGCAACTTGGGGGTTCCTGAGCGTCCTTGCAGGTGGGCCTAGGGTACCACTTACTGCTTTTTATTTTTCAATGTCTCAGACTATATTAATTTTTCTCATAATTTGGAAGGACAGTTTGGACACAGGTCTATACTTGGTTGTTGGTATTTTTTCCCTACATCACTTTTACTGCCTGAAGCCCACAACCTTCTGACTTCCAAAGGTTCTGATGAAGATCTTGCTGATAATCTTGTGGAGGACTCCTTGTGCATAATGAGTCACTTCTCTCCTGCTGGTTTCATTTTAATATGTTGGTGTAGGCCTCTTTGAATTCATGTCAGAGTTCATTGAGCTTATTGGATATTTACAGCCACCGTTTATAAAAATTTGGGGACTTTTGAGTCATCGTTCTTCAAATAATTCTTCTTTTTCTCTCTCCCTTCTCCTTGGACTCCTCTACAATGCATGCTTTTCTGGTGGAGGCCCACAGGTCCCCAGGGCTCTGTTTACTTTTCTTGAATCTCTTTTTCTCTTTATATTCCTCTGACACAATAATTTTAATTTTTCTATTTTCAAATTGTTCATTCTTGCATTTACTCAAGTCTGCCTATGAATCCCTCTAGTAAATTTTTCATGGTATTATACTCTTTAATTGCATAATTATTGTTTGATTCTATGTAGATTTTATATCTCTTTCCATTCTGTTCCACTTTCATGACTTTCTCTACATCTTCCTTTAGTTCTTTGAACACTTTCAAGACAGTTGTTTTAAAATCTCTTGAGTGGGGGATGAGAGCACGATGGGGGCTGGTGTGATAACAAGGGGCTGTTTCCAATATCCTCTGTGCTCACATACTACCACTGGGCTGCATCACCCTCCACCCAGCTCACTCACCTTCCCCAGAAAAAATTACACAGCCAGTGCCATATGATTCCCATGATGTCCAAAGATGAAGATTCACAGTGATAGTGACAGTATCAGGCGATTGCAGTCAGAGGCCAGCTGCATACAAATAGCTGGCTTATCATTTAGCCCCCAGGAATAGAGGCCTTTCACTTCACTCCCTTGTAGGTCAGCAAATCTATTTTCTCACACAGTGCCACTCCCTGAAGACATCAATGCTCTAGCTTCCAATCTGGTAGTAATGAGAACTATGAACCATTTATGACTCCAGAAAGATTTGGAAGCAGCAATGTGGTTTTGGCAGTAACTCTCATTTCCAAGCACCAGAGAAACTGACACTTCTTATAAATGGGATGTGCTGGGAATCCATAGACTTTTCACTGCTCATCCAGGTACCTTGTTGGGAAAGATATTTGGACCAGA